GATCAGTGGTGTGACCAATAGCGAGGCGAGAGGGGCGTGGCTTCCCGTGTTGGGTGGGAGAAGCGATGAGAAGGGGTGAGACGTCACCAATGAGGAAGATGGGGCGTGGTTATGAGTAGTGTGGCCAATAGCGAGGCGGCAGAGGGGCGTGGCTTCACGTGTGGGTGGGGAAAAGGCGAGGAGAGAGGATGAGACGTCACCAGGAGTCGAAGTGGGGCGGGGCGATCCAGGAGAGAGAGGGGCGTGGCTTCGCGTGTGGGTGGGGAAAGGCGAGGAGAGGAGAATTGCGCGCCTGCGCGTTGAAGCTGAGCCTTTCCGGGGGCGTGGCTTCACGTCACGGCGGCGATGTCCCCCAATGGGAGCAAGCGGAGAGGCGGGACGGCGAGGGAGGCGACCAATCGGAAGGCGAGAGAGCGTGAGGGGGAGAAAGAGAGGCGAGTTGGCGCCTGCGCGTTGGTGGCAGTGGCCTAGCAGCGTCCCGTCACAAAAGGAAGCGGCCATCGCGGTGAGAGGAGAGAGAGAGAGAGAGAGTGTCTGCCTGCCTGCCGGCGAGGCTGGAGCGCGGCTGAGGGCAGGGAAGAAGGACGACGCCGCCTTCGCCGCCGAGGAGGAGGAGGAGGCGGCGGAAGAGGCGGCGGCGGAGGAGAAGGAGCCGGCCGGCCTCAAGGCTGGCGGGCGGTGGCGGCGGCAGCGGTGGCGGCGGTGGCGCGGGGGCGAGGCCTGTGCTGAGGGCCTGAGGCCTCCCTCGGCTCGCTCCCTTCGCGCCGCCGCCGCCGCCTCTCCCTCCTCCTCCTCCCCGCCTTCCTCACCGTCCCCTCACCGTCCCGCTCCTTCCTCTCTTCTCTCTCTCTCGCCCTCGCTCGCCATGGCCCAGCAGCAGGTGAGCAGCTCGCAGAAGGCGCTGATGCTGGAGCTGAAGGGCCTGCAGGAGGAGCCCGTCGAGGGGTTCCGCATCACCCTCGTCGACGAGTCCGACCTCTACAACTGGGAAGTGGCCATCTTCGGGCCCCCCAACACGCTCTACGAGGGAGGGTACTTCAAGGTGAGACACCCCCCAACACCAGCCCCNCCCCGATAGGCCTCGGGACCTTCCCAACGTCCCCCCCCCCCAGGGGTTTGGGGCTCCCACCATGCCTCAAACACTCTCTGCTTCACTCCAGAATATGCTCCACTCGCAGAGCTCAGGCGGTGTTGTATTTCAACTCCAGAAAATGCTCAGCTCGCAGAGGTCAGGCAGCATTGTATTTCAATTCCAGAAAATGCACCACTCACACCGCTCAGGCATTGTTGTATTTCGACAGAGCTCAGACAGTATTGTATTTCGACTCCAGAAAATGCTCTACTCGCAGAGCTCAGGCTGTATTGTGTTTCGATTCCAGAAAATGCTCCACTCGCAGAGCTCAGGCAGTATTGTATTTCAACTCTCAGAGCTCAGGCAGTATTGTATTTGGACTCCAGAAAATGCTCCATTCGCAGAGCTCAGGCAATATTGTGTTTCAACTCCAGATAATGCTCCACTCGCAGAGCTCGGGCAGTATTGTATTTTGACTCCACATAATACTCCACTCGCAGAGCTAAGGCAGTATTGTATTTCGACTCCACTTGCAGAGCTCAGGCAACATTGTATTTCAACTCCAGAAAATGCTTAACGTGCAGAGCTCAGGCGGTATTGTATTTCGGCTCCAGAAAGTGCTCCACTCGAAGAGCTAAGGCAGTATTGTATTTAGATTCCACTCGCAGAGTTCAGGCAGCATTGTATTTTGACACCAGAAAATTCACCATTCACAGACCTCAGGCAGTGTTGTATTTTGACTCCAGAAAATGCTCCACTCGCAGAGCTCAGGCAGTATTGTATTTCGACTCCAGAAAATTCTCCACTCGCAGATCTCAGGCGGTGTTGTATTTCTGCTCCAGAAAATGCTCCACTCGCAGAGCTCAGGCGGTGTTGTATTTCGATTCCAGAAAATGCTCCACTCGCAGAGCTCAGGTGGTGATGTATTTCGACTCCAGAAAATGCTCCACTTGCAGAGCTCAGGTGGTGTTGCATTTTGGCTCCACAAAATGCTCCACTTGCAGAGCTCAGGCGGTGTTGTGTTTCGACTCCAGAAAATGCTCCACTCGCCGAGCTCAGGCAGTGTTGTATTTTGATTCCAGAAAATGCACCACTCGTAGAGCTCAGGCAGCATTGTGTTTCGACAGCAGAAAATGCTCCACTCACAGAGATCAGGTGGTGTTTTATTTTGACTCCAAGAAATGCACCACTCACATAGCTTAGGCAATATTGTGACTTCAGAAAATGCTCCACTCGCAGAGATCAGGCGGTATTGGATTTTGACTCCAGAAAATGCTCCACTCACAGAGCTCAGGCAGTATTGTATTTTGACTCCAGAAAATGCTCCACTCGCAGAGCTCAGGCGGTATTGTATTTCGACTCCAGAAAATGTACCACTCGCAGAGCTCAGGCAGAATTGTATTTCAACACCAGAAAATGCTCC